GGTAAGATAGATAGGTAAGATAGATAGGTAAGATAGATAGGTAAGATAGATAGGTAAGATAGATAGGTAAGATAGATAGGTAAGATAGATAGGTAAGATAGATAGGTAAGATAGATAGGTAAGATAGATAGGTAAGATAGATAGGTAAGATAGATAGGTAAGATAGATAGGTAAGATAGATAGGTAAGATAGATAGGTAAGATAGATAGGTAAGATAGATAGGTAAGATAGATAGGTAAGATAGATAGGTAAGATAGATAGGTAAGATAGATAGGTAAGATAGATAGGTAAGATAGATAGGTAAGATAGATAGGTAAGATAGATAGGTAAGATAGATAGGTAAGATAGATAGGTAAGATAGATAGGTAAGATAGATAGGTAAGATAGATAGGTAAGATAGATAGGTAAGATAGATAGGTAAGATAGATAGGTAAGATAGATAGGTAAGATAGATAGGTAAGATAGATAGGTAAGATAGATAGATAAGATAGATAGATAAGATAGATAGATAAGATAGATAGATAAGATAGATAGATAAGATAAGATAGATAAGATAGATAGATAAGATAGATAGATAAGATAGATAGATTAGATAGATAGATAAGATAGATAGATAAGATAGATAGATAAGATAGATAGATAAGATAGATAGATAAGATAGATAGATAAGATAGATAGATAAGATAGATAGATAAGATAGATAGATAAGATAGATAGATAAGATAGATAGATAAGATAGATAGATAAGATAGATAGATAAGATAGATAGATAAGATAGATAGATAAGATAGATAGATAAGATAGATAGATAAGATAGATAGATAAGATAGATAGATAAGATAAGATAGATAGATAAGATAGATAGATAAGATAGATAGATAAGATAAGATAGATAGATAAGATAGATAGATAAGATAGATAGATAAGATAGATAGATAAGATAGATAGATAAGATAGATAGATAAGATAGATAGATAAGATAGATAGATAAGATAGATAGATAAGATAGATAGATAAGATAGATAGATAAGATAGATAGATAAGATAGATAGATAAGATAGATAGATAAGATAGATAGATAAGATAGATAGATAAGATAGATAGATAAGATAGATAGATAAGATAGATAGATAAGATAGATAGATAAGATAGATAGATAAGATAGATAGATAAGATAGATAGATAAGATAGATAGATAAGATAGATAGATAAGATAGATAGATAAGATAGATAGATAAGATAGATAGATAAGATAGATAGATAAGATAGATAGATAAGATAGATAGATAAGATAGATAGATAAGATAGATAGATAAGATAGATAGATAGATAAGATAGATAGATAAGATAGATAGATAAGATAGATAGATAAGATAGATAGATAAGATAGATAGATAAGATAGATAGATAAGATAGATAGATAAGATAGATAGATAAGATAGATAGATAAGATAGATAGATAAGATAGATAGATAAGATAGATAGATAAGATAGATAGATAAGATAGATAGATAAGATAGATAGATAAGATAGATAGATAAGATAGATAGATAAGATAGATAGATAGATAAGATAGATAGATAAGATAGATAGATAAGATAGATAGATAAGATAGATAGATAAGATAGATAGATAAGATAGATAGATAAGATAGATAGATAAGATAGATAGATAAGATAGATAGATAAGATAGATAGATAAGATAGATAGATAAGATAGATAGATAAGATAGATAGATAGATAAGATAGATAGATAAGATAGATAGATAAGATAGATAGATAAGATAGATAGATAAGATAGATAGATAAGATAGATAGATAAGATAGATAGATAAGATAGATAGATAAGATAGATAGATAAGATAGATAGATAAGATAGATAACTTAAAAACACTATTTGATAATGTCGACCCTGGGAAGGTACTGGGCTTTATCATGGAAGTGGGGTTGTCTACGAAGATCTGATTTATGAATTTGTGAACATGTACTATTTACATTAGATTTTTACCAAATAATTAAATTTTTACTACCTTTACTATTTTAACTGAGAATAGTCCTTGATTTTAATGATATGACTGTATAGAATTTGGCACTTGTTGTTTAGAGAGAGAGTAGGGGAATGCAGGCACGACATGGCCTTAATTGTGCCGATGTGCCTAAAATCAAAATGAAAATAAAACCTAATCTAGAAAAGGAAAGTATTTTAGTTCATGTGTGACAACTTAATTAAGTTTTTTTTACAAATATTAAGTCAGCAAAAACAGCCATGCACTTGGATTATCAAGATTTCAGATAATCTTAAGAAAAGCAATTTTAAAAAAAGTTGTTATAAGATAAATGTTGTTAAGAAAAGAAGTTAAAGCACACATAGAATTTCAGGTGATAGAAGCAATAGAAGTTTTTTATTCTGGAACGTTTTAAATCCATTGTGTACATTGATTTTTTTTTCAGTTTTCCTCACATTGCTATTTACGTATATATAGTCATCTTAAAAGTACTATAACTTCTAATCAATGATTAAACGATGTCTAATTTTGAATAATATTAGACTATACGTAGTTCTTTAAGTGTAGAGTATTATTTTTTTCAAATGTAGTGAATTTACGTAGTTTCACAAATAACATTATGTTTTCAATCAATTTTTCTTAAAATCTCATTTGTCCGAAAATATCAAAACCATAGACTTATATATATAATATATATATATTGTATTTAAACTGGACTCAGAGATCTTTTAAAACAAAAGAGAATAATAATTTTTTTTCAAAGTTGAAACAAAGCGTTGTTTTGTAAAGTAGTTATAAGAAGTAAAGCTGTTTTTTTCCAAACCTAACCTATGTAACACATAATTTAATTTTTAGATCTAGATCTAGTAATTGAACATCACAAATAAGAGTACTCTCGTCTCATAATTATTATTTTGCAATTTTTAGATACATAATCTAGAAAGATCTAGGTAATCAATCTATTTAAATGTACATAAGATGATTAAAATCAACAGTCATGAATTAATCGATCTTGGATTTTCGAAACATTATCTAAATTGAAACTAACAGGAAATGGCCTTGTTTCATATATTAGCATATAATAGCCCATTCTAAAGATAAAAGGAGAAATGATTTTGCATTATTTCTAAACTTTGAATACTAAATATCATTACTAAGATAGAAAAGATTAATGGGGCGACTTCCTTTAGAGCTTGAAAAAGAGTAACGTACATAAAAATCTATATATATATGGTCTGTAAATCGATCACTTGCGGATAAGAATTTGTTTCCGGTTTCCAGTCTAGATATAATATTGAGTAGAGTCACTATTGCGGAACAGGCATGTTTGCGGAACAACTCGTCGAAATGAGTTAAAATCAACTTTATTTTGAAATTTTCTGCTAAAATACTGTAACGGTACTGCGCATGGTCCCTTTCTATACATTTCCAATACACGGGTTTTCCTTTCACACTAGAAAATTAATTTTGACTCCGGGTTAAAGTGGACAGGTGTGGAATTGTCCATTATTTTTCACGTACCAGGAGAACCAGGGTCAGGGCTTAAGGCTTTTTAAAATGATAATGATCCATCACCTGCATGATACACCTAACTTTCGGTTTATAAATGGATGTGGAATTCTTAGCCATCTATTCAATTTTAAAAAAAAATTGGGAGGTGTTCACTCAGTTTTTACCTTTTTAAAGATAGTCACAATTGTGGAACACTTTAGATGTTATTTATTTGACCTGCGCATTTAGCTTTATATTTACTTAAGGATTTAGATTATCGGAATTTAAAAATACGAGTTTGTATTAGTATACATACATTTAAAAACATTTAGAGAATAATATTACATATAATATAGAATTTATGATTACCAGACGTCCAGTAAAAAGAAGACAAATCATAATATATATCATATATATAATCTACTATATAAAGTAGAATGTAAGGTGTATGTATGTATGTCCTTTATAGAAATCAAAACCGTTGGACCAATCTTAATTAAACTTGACATGGAAGTCTCTAGATAATAGCTGTGATCTTAGGACATGTAAAGTTGCTCTACAACAAGAGCGTTTACTATATTTAGGTCAATGGGGCATCTTGACATAGACTTAATTGAAGTGCATAGATGACATTTATAATATAACAGATCGAAAAAAAAACAACTCGAGCAAAGACCTGTTAAAAACAGAGCTAGTAGGCCTATAAATATAATAAAAAGAATTAAAGAATAGCAAAAAAAACAACCTTGTAAGGAAAATCAGGGTAGTGTGACGTCAATAACAATTAAAGAAGTGAAAGAATCTAAAAGTGACAATGTGTCTTTTTAGCTTTAATAAAAGTAAAATTAATGTAAAGGATAAGGAGTTCAAGTATTATATAAGACTAATAAAATATGTGCTTTATATAGGCTTTGTTCCGACATTTGTACCGTGTTCCGCAATTGTGAGTTCTTAAAAAGTCCTGTTCCGTAATTGTGACTGACCATATCTCAGTCGATTTGCATGTAAAATTTAAATATGTGTTGCAAAACTAACCAATACGCCTATTTTATCGGAAAATGGATGGGCAATGCCTAGATACTTTTAGTTTTTCCATAGGTCTAACCATTACGGAGCAAAAAATTGAAAACTAAAAGTAGCAGCAAACTTTTCCGCAATATTGACTTTACTATATAACTCTATGATCAAAAATATAATAATTAAAATTTTGCAACAATATTTGCATAAAATTTAAAATACTTAAAGATTAGGATTTACACTAACGAAATGAAGAGATTTTTTTTAAATTTCAAAATGTTCATTTTATTGTCTTTGAAATCTCGAAAAAAAAAAAATTTCCTGCAAAATGTACCGGTACTACCGGTATATAATCTGTTTAACTTCTAAATCTTGGGTGCAAAAAATAAAAGGATAATAAATGTTGAGCTGTCACTTGTAACTTCTTGTTTGCTACTTCGAAAAAAAAAGTTAGTAATTTTTATCGATTAGTTAAAAAGTTTTAGCATTGCAGCTGCTAAGTCACGGACTATTTTTATTTAGCAGGTTGATTTACTGAATCAACCAACCAAATTTTGGATGAAGAAAAAGTTTTTTTATTTGAACCTCGTGATCACCTTCCAGGCATATAGACGGAATGGCCGGCCAAATCGCGAACTGGCCATACTTTGGGTTTAGGTCGTAACATATACAAATATAGAATAAAAAATATTTTGCCAATGTATTAATGTATAATTTATTTGTCACGAAGACCATTATATGTACAATTATTGTTATACATCTACACAATATTATACACAGCAAATTGTAAGGTGTCTAATAGTGTCTATATGAATTGATGTCATTTGTACAAATTAACTGCTTTTGACCAATCTTGACGAAACTTTGCATGAATATTACTGACATTTTGAGGTGGCTATTAAAAGTAAAAGTAAAGTTCTCCTTACAGACCTTGAAATCTATAGGAGGGATGATGCTAAGGTCATCTGTTTCTTTGGCCAACGGTTGAGAAGCCAGTCATGTGGCCAGTGCAACGACCATACGCCTTTACTTTCCTCAACTAAAGTTGAGTTTGGTGGACTCAAGGGTGAACTAGCCAGTTATAGATTTAGATTTTCTTTTTGCTATCTTCGTCTGTTCTCGGCAGCAAATTTTCTTTTGCGGGCCGCGGCCTTTGTAAGTGACCTCTAGCAGTCTCGTTCTGAAGCGGGTGCAACCAGGTGCTCTATGACTGACTATGTCAGTCAAAGCAAGTTGGCACCTAAGCTCTCAATACTGCAACTTTTATCTTACATTTTTCTATATAAAACAAAATTAATTAATTAACACTAATTTTTTTTTTTTATTGAATCATTTGTTGTCATCAACAATGTATAGTTGTGCTCCAATTTGAATCATGAAAAAAAAAAATCTACCCAGACAGAGTGAGAGGATAAATAGAAAAAAATGCAGTGTATACACAAAGCAACACTTTAGAAATGTTCAACTCAACACAACAAATATGTGGTTGAGCCCACTAAAACTCATCGGGGCATCATTCACTGGTAATTAATTATCTAATTAATCATTAAATTATCTTATATTATTATTATACAGACGTTTCAAAAAAGAACTTTAAGTCCTACAGATTTATACATTTATACGCATAATATATACAAAGTAAATAAATGGGCATGACAACTCAATACTATATTTTCTAGAGCTGTGAACCATGATCTCTATTTGTGCAAACATTAAATTAAAATTATGCTTTGTAAAAACCCTGCTCGTACCAGCGCACTGTTAGACAGAAGACATGATCAGTCTAGAAATGAATGTTGACATTTGAGAAGAAACACCTAGGAGCTTGAGAAGTTTTGCTCAAGGCAGATATTGTTACTATGTGATTTCCTGTTAATCAAGACCTGTTGACTTGCCTTCATTTGACTACTACAATCATTAGTTTTAATTTAAAAATAACATAAAAATACTTCGAATTGGTTCTGTTCTAAGCATGGAATTAATATACAAAACAGCAATAAAAGATAACAAAAATAAGATTTGTTCAATCCTTACAGCATCATGTTCAATAGTTTAAAAAATAAATATTTTAGTCAATCTTTTTCTACCTACAAGTGTTGGATTGAAATATAGAGTGGCAGGAACAAAGTGTAAACTGCAGCAATCTACTGATAATAACAAGTGTAGGTGACAAACAATATTTAGTAAGAAACTAATATTTAGGCATAACTCATGATCCACTAAAAACAACAAAAATGTTATCATAAGTTTTTTATATATAAAAAAATCACATCAGATCATCTTAATAGTCACAAACTTTACAGTCCTTTTAAAATTTCATATACAGTTAGATATAGTTGTTTATCATGAATTTAGGAAGAGTAATCCCTGCAAGAAACAAATATTTGAACAAGTCAGTCTACTAAACTTTTCCCACATAAGTAGTACACAATCACAATATTGCTTTCCATTTTTTTTTTATTAAAGTCTGAATGATAAATAAATTATAAAATAAAAAAAATATAGATAATTGAAAATAGTGTGAGAATTATTGTGGGAAGGGCTAGATTCATACTATGAATAGCTAGAATATTATACACTTTTCCATAAACAGTATTTCAAATTTAAAACAATATGGATACATAGTTCAAAAGTAAAAATCAAGCTTACTACATAGATTTTACGGTTCCTGATTAATTAAAAAAACAACATATTATAAATGATATGTAAAAAATACATCACAAAACATTTTTTGAGAATGTGAGTGTAAAAGTATGAAAAAATATAACGATTTTTGTATGTGTTATTAGTGATGAGGTAACAATAATTTGGAAAAAAAAATATACAGAGAAATGAACTAATAGGTCATTACCGTGTTGATTTTTTAATGAATTTGTAATAAAACCCTTGTTTATTCATCAATTCATTGTGTGTCCCTGTCTCTGTAACTTTTCCATGGCTAACAACACAAATTTTGTCTGAATTCTTAATAGTGGACAATCGATGTGCTATAACTATACAAGTTCTTCCTTCTCTAGCTTTGTCTAGAGCTTCTTGAACAATCTAAAATGTAAAGAGTTAGGTATCATCAAAGTGAAAATAAAAATTGTGCTATATGCTATAAATCAACTATGTAGTGATGGGCAAAAGTTAACTAAAAAGTTGCAAACTTTTAATTTAACTAAAAAAAATTAGTTAAGGCCAAAGTTTAATTTAAAAAAAAGTGTAGTTAAAATCCTAGTTTAAATTTTTTTTTTAGTTACAATCTAAAAAGTTTAATTACAAATTTTACAAACTTTTTTAACATACATACCAATAAATATTTAGAGCTACGTAATTTGGAGAATATATATAATGAATAAACTAGAGGGACACAGGTCACTAGAAAGCCTTTTGACCTTTACCCTATAATGGTCGCTATTCCCGCCAATTCAAGGTATTTGAAAGCGAGAAAAATAAACGTGTTCTATATTTCTAGCAAGTTTCGCTGCTTGATAAATCCTGATAATTCCTTGCTTCTATAGATCTACATTTTGTTCCTGCATAGCTGCAGGCAAAGAATTTTGCTTTACTATAGATCTAAAAGAAATGTCGACTCTTTTTATTTTAAAACTTTCTACTAGATAGATCTATTCTAGAGTTAGAGTCTAGTCACTATTAGTATTAGTCTATTACTACCATTAGATCTATAGTCATAATAGTCTATAATTAATTATTTTAGTCTTAAGTAGAGTCTAACTCTTATAGTCTTAGTCTTAGATTTAGATCTAAATGTAAATTTAAAATTATAAGTCAATAATATTAATTGAAATCTATATTAATTTACTTTATTAGACTAGATCTATTAGTTTAGAGATTCTACTATTCTAGAATTAGAGTCTAGATTAGATCTAGAATCTAGATTACTTATTAGGCCTATACTAAAACCTAAGATGCATAGATGATAGATCTATAATGACTATAATACTAATAATAGTCGTCACTATTGACATTGAATTTAGGAAATTTAGGCACCGGATAATTAGGCACCGGATAATTATGCACTTTTTGACTAGGCGGACAATTAGGCACCGGATAATTAGGCACTCTTTAATTAGCGACCTTAATTTTGAAAATAATTTTAAAATGTTAAGGTATATTTTATCTTTAGGCTATGGGCTATCGGTGACGTTATAATAAATGGCAACTATAACGATTCTAGCCTAAAGAAATGCTGACAAAATGGGGAAAAATGACAATCATGAGAATGTGTGGAAAAAAATGACACCTGAGTCATTATATAATATAGACATCACAGGATTCAGGGGAGGGGAGGTAGAGATGATTCTCCGCTCATTGCTTCCCTCCATCACCAACCCCTAATGTTGACTGGTGAGTTTTTTAAATTGATGGTTATGCAACTTGTGTAAATATTTAGTTACTAATGTAAATACTTTAGATTAAAAAGTATTATAAAATATTTTTATTATGTCGGGGAGTGTTGGCGATAAATATAATCGCAATCGCTCTCTGCTTGTGGGAAAGGGAGGGGTCGTACTTTTAAAATGGGATAGGCTGGGGTGGGCACACACTCCCACTTAAGGGAGAGGATTTCTCGCAGAAACATGTAAATTTGGTCGTAAAAGTTACCTATTGAATCTTAAGGCTACTCACTGGGGGTCAATGGTATGGAACAGCATAGGTGCTAAATTGGAAGTCTGGAGAAACTTGTCTCCTTATAAAGGGTATGGGAATGAGAAGGAGGTTTTGATTGCGTTACTTATGGGAATTAGATATGTTGGTATTCATTTTTTTAATATCGGCATTAATCTGTATTAATATATATATATATATATATATATATATATATATATATATATATATATATATATATATATATATATATATATATATATATATTATATATAGGTGTGTTACCTCCTTCAAATGTCTTTTGTGGTAATTAATTTTTACCTATAATTACGCATATATTATGATATATTCAATATATGCAAATTTATGATCTATAATATTTATATAAAATATATATGGTTGGACATTGCAAAATGGCTAGAAATCGCGATAAAATATGTTTTGAAATTAAAAAAATAAAGAGTTTGTGGAAAAGACAGATGAGTTGAAAATTTCTATATTTATTTTTGGAATATTGGTCTCTTTTTATCTGTTATAAACAGAAAACTCATTCTGCTTATAAGAGATGAAAATCTTTAAAGTTCTTAATATGATGATTATGTTGACAGTTTATGATAAAACAAAAAATCAGGCTCCTTTACACGGGCGGGTATCTTAAAAGAAATTGGGTCCACCTGTTGATTCTATGAGACTCCTGGGTTCGAAATGTATCGAGTCTTTTCCGAGACCTGCGAAATATCATGCCGATGCTATAAAAGTTTTTATCCAGCTACATCAAAGTCGATTTGTGGTCCAGTGTTAGTGGCCTCTTTCAGCAGGCCACTGTATAAAAGCTGCTCCTGTGACTACTAAGTCTCAATGTTCGAAAGCTTTTGATATAGACTACTAGAGTGTTTTTCCTGTTCGTTAATTTGTTAGAGTTCTTTCTGCAACCAAGTGGGCTCTCACAGATTGCATAATCAAATTAAAAAAAAAATCACCAGTCAACATTATAGGGGCTGGTGATGGACTGAAGCAATGAGCGGAGAATCATCTCTACCGCCCCTCCCCTGACTCCTGTGATGTCTATATTATATAATGACTTAGGAGTCATTTTTCCACACATTCTCATGATTGTCATTTATTTCCCATTTTGTCAGCTTTTCTTCAGCTAGAATCGTTATAGTTGTTATTTATTATAACGTGATCGATAGCCCATAGCCTAAGGATAAAATATACCTTAACATTTTAAAATTATTTTCAAAATTAAGGTCGCTAATTAAAGAGTGCCTAATTTTCCGGTGCCTAATTTTCCGCCTTGTCAAAAGTGCCTAATTATCCGGTGCCTAAATTTCCGGGTGCCTAAATTTCCAGATACCATTGACACTACACTAGATCAGTAGATCTAATACTAAATTAACTACATCTAGACTAGATCTACATCTACTTCTATTATAGGCCCTAATTATACTTATTTCTACTATC